CAGGTTACAGTCATGATAAGGTAAGAAATAAATATTCAAAATATACCACAGATAAATATCTTTTAAGTAGTATCCATTAATATTTATGTTTATCTACATTGTATTATGGCATAAAATTAAAATTATTTATTAGAAATGGACGTCTCGACAACTACAGTAAATTCCTAGAAGTTTTCCACGTTATGCTAATTCAGAAACCGAGCTTTGAACTCGCGTTACGAGTTTATAATTTTTAATGCAAAAATAAATTATTGTAAATTGCTTTGCGGGTTGTATATTAGTGACAAATTTTTATATTCTAAGCCGATTTAGTGATGATAATCTTAATAGTTATGAATTGTTAATAGATTTCAAACTAATTGGAAGTAATATTCCGTATTTGGGCAAAATATTAATGCTCCTTAACACTTGATTGGTGGTGAAGGTAGAAAGCAGGCCCTTTCAAACGGAAGTAAACTCTTGTATTCATAAAACCAATACACTGTAGCTGCTCCAGATCGTCTCTTTTCAACACAGCGTAAAATCAATATGATAGAAAGAGTTAGGTATATAGTTTCTTTTATTAATCGATATCCTGCAGCTAACATATATTACAAAAAATTTTTTACCAAAGATACCAAACATGAAAAACATAATATACACAAAAAGGTTCAAACATTTACGAAAGTAAAAATTCAATAAAAACTATTAAATACATTTAACTAAGTAATACCTAATTCGGTTGTGTTGTGTGATGGTGTGAAATTGAGTGTGTGTAGGGTGTGTATGTAGGGTGTGCTCATGATGCAGGTTATCGCTATGGATATTCTTAATACTCCGCAAAAAACTGTGTTTTTTGCATAGTTGGTGTTAATGTGAGGAGCGTGAATCAAAACACGATTACGAGTTAAGTATGCAGGAACATGGAAGTAGTCGTAATAAAAATGTCTATCACCTACCACGTTTCTAAAGTACCTACTTGACAAGAGCGTTTGTATGGTTAAGTTTTCAATTACCTACCCTTGTTAAATATCACAATGTTATGTCTGTATTACGAATACTTAAGTTTGTGACCTTCATGTTGATGTACATGAAATATATTAATTTTCACGTGTCTTGTCACTTGTCAAGACAGTATAGAAAATACCATCCGTATCACCACGACGTCCGTCGTTCTACAACTGAGCGTTTTTAAGGCAGTTGCCGCGCACCACCACTATGTGGAACCAACTTCCCACTGAGTATTACCGAACCAATTGGACCAAGGGTACTTCAAAAAAAGAGCGCATCAATTCTTGGAAAGGCCGGTAACGCACTTGCGTACTGGCAATGTGAATATTCATGGGTGGCGGCGGTATCACTTATCAGATTAGCCGTTTGGCTCTTGTTAGGTACAAAAAAAAAAAAGGAATACTCTATTAAGTAGCGACAATAAATAGATAATTTTTGAGCAATTTCGGTCGTTCTAAATATCGTAAAAACTCGCGTTCAATCAATTAACCATTTATAAAACAATTGTCATCAACGTCACTTATATCACTTTGATGAGCTCTAAAGTGACAAAACAAGTATATAAAGGATTTAAAAGCGGTTCTATAAACTGCTCGTTAAATCTCAAAAGCGATAGTAAATTTTCTCAAGAGTTGAACTTTTACGATGCCACACCCACCTGAGACTTTGTGGCTGTATGATCCATACATCGATCCCCTATAAAATGTGCGATGTGCAAGCATTCCTTTTGGTCGATATATGGACGTATGGGTAATTAAATTTATCTCTGGGGTTAATTTAATATATTGGCCGTTTGGTAGGTACATGCCATTTGGTAAACCAACAGCTCTTTTCAGCAAGTTATATGCAAATAATAACTCAAACTCAAAATAACTGTATAGGTAACCAGTACACTTAAAAAAGATATTAAATTGATTCTAAATTTACATTTACCAGTTCGCAAATCAAGAGCGTAAAGCGGGCATGAAGAACTGGCAAAGAAACACTCCGCCACTCTTTTTAATCGCCAAGTTTTGAGTCATACGAATTGTTTGAACCGGAGCAAATCAATCCCAAGGATTAGGATCATTTAAATAATCGTCAAATGTATAAGGAGCTTTATTGATTAATTTACGATTAACAAGAGTTTTGAATTTATTCAGTGATAATTCTTTGTTTTTGCTCGGGAGTTTTTAGTAAAAACGAATACAATTTCCATATAAGGAGTGGTTTATCTTCTGGAGCCTGGTCGTACGCTTAGATTAGTTCTGTTTCGAGTATTATACTGGTGAAAGTCACCATTGCTTTTAAATATTCAGTACCTAAGTCTAATCATTCATCCACATTTCTACTATGTATAGTTAAATGGGGTTTTGTAGTAAGAATTTCAACAGTCTTTACAAACAAAAATGTACTTATAAGTTAACATTTATTTTTTAATGAGCATGTACATAATTGTATCTGAACAGCACTTTTATTTAACAATACCTGTTCAAAAGAAGGTTAACTTAAAATATGTAAAGGTTATGTTGGAAATATGTATTTTTACTATTTCAATAATAAAAAATCCAGTGTTTTGGTAGGTATATGATAATATATGGAGTAGTTACTTGCTGTAATAAGCGTTTTCATAAATGGATCTTCCCTCATAAATACCAATTTTTTTTTTCTTAATAAGTATGATATTTTTTATCAATAGAACTAGTAACTAAAATAATAAAACTAGACTAAAGCTTCTATATTGTTTTATATTAAGAAATAAATTTGTAATTAATAAATTCAAAATTCTTAAGATTTCATTTCTTCTTAAAAACATCATTTTTATTTTAATAACAAATAAGGTAATCAAACATTCAAGTGTTGACAAATGTTATTGCTATTTTGCTCATATCAATATTTCAGCGCTTCCTAATTGGCAGAGGTAGGTAGGTACCTGTATAAAAAGCTAAATAAATTATTAAGGTAACCTAAAACAAAATCCTTAAAGTAAAAATTACATGTTAATATTTTTCATAGTAAAAACTTTGATTAGAAAAGCCAAGCATTATGTATGTCTCAAGTTTAATTATCTATTTAAAAATATACAATTATTAATCTGTTTCATATTAGTGAATATTTTCTCTCTTATATCCAGTCTTATTTATATTGACTTCTAACAAGACTGCATCGTTCAAATTGGTCAGTGAAATCAATTATAGACCAATAAAAAAATGCTCCTATCATAAAATAAATAACCTAAATTGTCCATATCGGAGTCGTATACGATTATGGGCTAAACATCACAATAACAACATAAACTCAATACTTATGCAATGTTCTACTGCCTCACCGTGTACCAGCGACCTGATAAAGCTGAAAAGGCAACTTAAGCCTATAAAAACCATGCACTAAACACATTTTAACAATCAAAAGTGTGCTAAATAAATAAAATTCCCACGCAATAAACAGTTTTATTTAAATAGTCGTAAAGTTTGTTATTGCGCACGTGGCTGCTGTTGTTACGACCGGTGAGCATGAATGAAACGTGTGAAAGAGAAAGCGCTTGCTCGAGAGGGACAGAAAGTGCCAGTTCGACCACGTGGCCGGCGTAACACCTCGAAGAGCCATTCTTATTAGGATTTTATTGTTTAATTTTATTGATATGGCTCTAAGATATTTATATGTTGCAAACAATAAAATTTGAATAAATTATTCTTAACGAAAGCTAAAGTGAAGATGAATATAAAATTGGACAAACATAGACATTATTGGATTTTATTATTGCATTATAATATCGTTTATGTTTCAAGAAATTATAAAGTTAAAGATACATTTGTTGAAATGGTCACACAGACGTATTAATTGATATAACACACTTGCATACTGTATTGCTTATCTGTAAAATTAAAAAAAATAACATTCAACTAATTTTTGTAAAAATATATAATAACCGTTAATTAGATTTATTTAGTACTTACTTACTTCGATTTTGTTGGATTCTTGTACTAAGTTCTAGCAGTATCCTTTATCCTAAAATGCTCCTTAAGTTTATGTAGTTTATGTAGTTGTAGTGACCAAAAATAAAGCAGTTATGGCTTTGTTTACCTATAAGTTAAATACGTTATAGTTACCTAAGGGTAATATCTAGACATTTGTATAACATATTATATATAATTATTTATTAATAAAGAATATTAATAACTAAGACTGCATTGAAAAATTTTATATAGGTACTACTTAATCACATTATGTTGGTTTTTGTATAAAAATCTAACAAGAATACACTTCTAATTAAAGAATTTGAAATCCATATTATGTAAGCAATTTTGTTTTAATTTAGACTATTTATTTCGTACAATTTCAATAATTACTCATTAGAGGAATAGCATTTCTAAGAATAGATTTTTGTTTACTGGCTTGTATTTTTCACAATATTACTAAATCATATAACTTGTCGTATCTTTTATCCTTCGTGTTTATAATTTGAAAAATATTTAATGGATAAGTAGGTTTAGAACCGAGAAAAATCTTACCAGATAGATCACTACTCTATGTTTACGAAAATTGTGTTACGTTATTGCATAAGCCCGTTCAGTTTGACAGCTTAAAGTGCCGGAATGGTTTGTGATTGGCGGTGAATGTTCTGCAACGGATTACTATTGGCGTAGAAGAGCAATGCGCGGGGAAGTGCGGGGCTCGGCGCCATTACGAACAATGGCCGGCGGAATGGTCGTTAGCGAATAGCTTTTATCTCTTTCTAATATAAGCCGCGCAGGTAGGAATTAATGAGACGGAGAGGGTTCCGGCGCGTTCGCCCGCAAGGTCACTCCGTCTCGCTCTCTCGCACGTGACACGTTTCGCTGTCTCGTACACGCCGCGCGGCAGCGGTAACGCTCGCCACGACGGGGAATTCAGAGTCGTAGAGCCTCATACGCGGGTCATAAACGATCCGCGGCCATAGTAGAGGTGCACGCGCGAGGATCGATCCGAATCGCCGGCGATAAACGCATCTCCCGCGAGGCGATCGTCGCGCGCTGCGTCGCCGCCGAGCGATGAGTTCCAAGTTCATCATCGATAGCATGCTCCCCAAATACCACCAGCAGTTCCATCATCAGAACTTATTCGCGGGTGCCGGGACATCGCCTATAGAGGCGTCGCTTTCATCGTCCTTATCGTCGTCGCTCTCGACGTCGTTATCTTCATCGTTATCTGGCGGTCTGGGAGCAGCAGCTTTGGGAGCGGGCTCTCCGGGTGCCGGAAGCCCGCAACGGTCTTCGTCTTCATCATCGGCATCGCCAGGAGCGCCGGCAAGGATGTATCCGTACGTGTCGCACCACCAGCAGTTCGGAGGGTCAGTGCCGTTTCCCACGGGGACTGGACTGTCAGCGGATGACAAGAGTTGTCGGTACCCTACGGCAGTGGGTGGCGACCCGATGGTGAATTATGCGCTGGGTCAGCACAACGGTGGCGCGGCTGTGTCGGCAGCATCAGCTAGTATGGCAGCAGCGGCTCAGTTCTACCATCAAGCAGCGGCATCAGCGGCGTCTGCAGCTTCAGCAGCTTCAGTAGACGCGATGGGTGCAGCCTGCTCCCAACCTTCAGCGCAGCCTCTGCCTGACATACCACGCTACCCCTGGATGTCCATTACTGGTAACTGTTTATGAATGCTGCATGTTTGTTGCTAGACAGTAGCACACGTTTTATCTGCAAACATTTATTTTACATTATTTTGCCGTCGTATTTTAGCTTGAATAATTGCGTTGATTTAGATACCTCTACTTAAGTAATTAATATAACGATAGAAGTATACAATATTCATCTCATACCTATTTAATTCAGGCCGATAAGGTGTAATAATTATCCAAATTGGTTTATAAAAATAATCGTTTCGGTTACCTGTACGCATAATATAATGTAGGCGATACACAAGTAGGTATAATTTAATTAACAATTAAGCTGCAATTATAATCACTTATCAATTATAAACAATACATTAAATATTTTAAATCATTAAAATACGTATTTTCACGATTTATGTTTATGATAATTATCTTATTTGATTGCACTAGGTTGTTACTAAGTATAGGTGAAATTGTTTTGTTTTATTGATACCATAAATCGTTATTGCGGTAATTAAATTATATAAACAACTCTTAAGTAATCAATTAAAATTAATAAGAAATACCTTAAATTAATAGTAAGGCAAGTCAAATTAAAAATTTGCTTCGGCCGTCGCTTCTTAGTATTCAAAAAGATTTTATTTAATCATTATATATTTATTTTGTTTTATTACATTAAATAAGGGGATATTAATTAGGTGTTTTAGGTTTCAAGTAGGTATAAAGATCTATTAAAATAGCAACAACTTAATTCCATCAATTTATATAAGGAGTAGGTACTAATTGCCAGTATAATATTATTAACCTACAATTAACAGTTATTTTATAATGTCAAACATACAAGAACTCTCTGAAATATATTTTTGTAGGTATTTTTAAGGCTCTTAAGTACTTTACAAAGCCTTAAAAATCGCATTAAATCATCATGAGATGATTATGTGGATAATAGGTTTTTCCACTTACTAAAGGTCCTGAAAGCTAAACATTCTTTATCGCTTGACGTTTTACTTCCTAAAGTAGGTGTTCCAAAGTCATTTTAAAGAAAAACTTCTTTATTCATACAAAATATAGGTCTAAATGCACCGTTTTAACTCTTCTGTCTCGCTTTGTTTCAGCGTAAACCTAATTTGAGAGAAAAAGACGAAAAAATACTTTAGTTATAAAATTGCAAACTGATTTAGTTTGCAAGTTTTATTTCTTTGAAAAATCCAGTGATGTATTGAATAGTATCGTTACAATTCCAAATTCAAATAAAAAAAATTTCATACGAAAGATAGCAATGAAGTCTCGATTTGAGAAGTATGTAAACAAAACTAACCTAGTATATCTAGTTCATGATCCTGTGAGGTCCAATTTGTACTCAAAAAATGTACATCTATTAAAGTTTTACGGCTTGTACGCATTGAATACAATACGTTTAATTTTTTTTCGCGGTTTATTGCGATACTCCGTTAACATCTAGGCTTTGTTTGGACGGTTTATGACCTACCGATTTGGTTTAGCAATCATTTAAATAAATATTAGACACGTAATATGAATTAGCTTTGATTTAAATATATTTTTTATAGTGAGTATTGAATATACGTTGTATTTAAGCACACCTTAATGACAAAAGTAATATTGTTTAAAGATTTATTATTGATATTAAATACTTAGTATAAATTGCATTTTGCGATATTTCAAAGAGTCGTTAAAGGAAAATATATATATATATATATATATTGTATATAATTCAATCAATTTATTAATTAAATGTCTTCTTAAATCTTGGAACCTAGAATACTTTTCATGAAAAAAATAATTAAACCTCTTAATGATCCACTAATTAATGTCACTTTGGGAATATACCGGTGTAGCCTATACATAGCGAACATTAAAAAGATTTATCTCATGTAGGGCGTTTACCCATGATTTTGAATGAAATTAACATTTGAATAACTTGTTTTTTTTCTTATTTGTACTGTTTCGAGTAGGTTTAACATTGCTTTTTTGGGTAGAATTTGGCTTGCTTTATATATAAATAATTCCCAAAATCTACTTTGGATTTTAATACAAAGATTAGCATGTAAGTTTTGTGATATAGACATCCCTTTCTAAATTATTACAAAAATCTTTTTTACCGACGGTTTGAAGTTTAAGACATCATTCGTAACTTTAACGCGCCGTAGTTTTGGTAAAGATCTACTACTAAAACCGATGAAAAATATCATATAATAATACTCGTATATATATACATAACGTGTCATATCCTAACGAACATAATAATTTTAACAGCAAATTAAATTTACTGTGAAATCTTTTCACATCTAAAACCGTGGATCAATAAATTATAAATGTAAAGAAAATATAATCAAACGAATGCCACACCAATGTCCCAGTCATAGATCACTAAAATTAAACCAAATGGTCTATAACAGACTTGTTTTTATTTCGAAACGACCTTTTCAGGTGATTTGTAGTCGATGTTGGCTTATTAAAATATTATTATGACGGCCATATCAAAGGCAAAATATCAAATCTACCTCAAACATATTGTAGGCATATAATATGTATTTTGAAAAATATGTAACGACTTTTTTCACACCTTATAATTTTTGAACGTAGACATTTCCGTCAACAGCTCTTTTGTAAATTGGTCTTTTGTTACTCTTGAAATGTAGTCATAATAATAAGAAACATTGTAGAATATAATTCTCCAACTACTTCATTATTTCAAGTTCTATATATCTAATGATATAAAATATCTTATTTGAAACATATAATGCCGTAGGTTTTTACAACACAACGCGTAGTACGTTATTATAGCGCCAACTCAGATAATTTAAAAGATTACCAATTTAATAAAAAATAAACTGAATATATTTGATAAAAAAATAATTTATCAATGCATCTAATATCTAATATTCTCAACTATTCCCTTTCCCGCCATACATTATCTACCGGTCTTTGATCTGCGCCTGGCGTGTATGGCGCATGCGTCAAAAAAACATGGCCGACCGATCTGACCAATGAAATCGCTCGGTTGCGCTACCCATGTGACATTTCTAATTCTTTTTTCTATTGATTGATAATCCCTCTTAAAAGGATGAAGCTGGGATATTTTTACATTATCAGTGAAATATTTTGTTTAAAATGAGTTATTGACGTGAGAAATCTTTGAGGCACTTCAAGTTTTTATCAGTTTAGCGTGGTTTGTGAGTTTGTACTTGAAATTCTTATTCGGGATTTTTGTATTATCAATGTTTTATGTCAGCACTTCGTTAGCGATTGTGTAATCATTAACGTTTCCGATTGGCACAATTCGATTAATTTTAGTGTCTTACAAAAACGCACTTAAATGCAAATTAAAAAATGCAATTAAAGTTACCCTGTAAAACTGTTTTATGGCTCATTTATGGCGAAATAATTTATAACAAAACTATTTAATTTATCTTTAAAGCCAACACGTTAAGGCGAACAAAATATATAATGTTTCAGCATTATTTATAAATAACAGTTTTGATAATATCTCAATTCTGAACCATTTAGTGTTTCATACCTAATTGTAATGTTATTATTTCGGAACCTACAAATTTAACTTTTATTTTATTAATTTAATTGTAGCAAAACGCGATTAATTGTCATAGCGGGCGATATAGTTAAATACACTACGATTTCATGAATAAACACAAATATATACAGAACACACAAAATTTACTTTGAAAAATGAAACGACTGACAGTTTCGCTTGACTCTGATTGGTCTAGGTATAGACACCTGTCCGCAATCAAGCGACGCAGTCTGATTCGTTTTTTAAAAAGAATGAACACTCAGTGTTAAAAAAAAATACAGAAATGTGTTTGTAACCAATAATAGCGCAAAGATTTCTCAGCGTCTAATTCACTGATTTTTAAGAACATATTAGTGTATGCTCTCAACATTTTCATATGGAATTCGAACGTAAAACAATGGTGTAATATAGCCACATATTAAGTATCAGATTACTGTGTTGATATGAATAGCGTCTTTTTGAACTTTAAACATTTTCTGCTCCAACGCAACACGCAAACTGTATGTACACAGCGTAACAGTTAAATGGGGTGTAAATAAACTGAAATCTATAACGTATACAAGAATTTAAAAAATATAGAAAATTTATAATAGCGTGCGTTATCGTAATTGTTAATTTTCATTTAATTTGAGATATCTCGGTCTAAATACGCTCGTTGTTTACGGCAAAAAATGGTAATAATTTGCTACTGTTTACTTATTAAATGCATACTCCAACACATGATAATTAGCTTTATTTTCTGTATAATATTGTTTGTAGTATAGATATTGTAGCAGCATAGCATTTTTTATACAATTTGGTTTTATACAATTGCTGAAATTTAGTCTATTTGATTGACACGTGTTGGACAATTGTTATGCATGCAACTTTGCGAAACAAAGAACTTACTTTACGATTGATAATAGATTTTCCATTTCCAGATTGGATGAGCCCCTTCGACCGCGTGGTCTGCGGTGAGTTTAATGGTATTTATCGTTTCATATTTATTTTCTTTTAATTTTAAGTACTACAGTCTCTATATACGAGTATCTACTACTTGACATACAACTCTTTAAATATTACAAATTAAAGGTATGATTTTTTGCCGAACTCCGTGCCTAAGTAAAATAATGAAAGGAAGAACATGATATCGTGTATAGAGACTAACACAGAATTTCCGTAAAATTAATTTGCAATTATTGATTTGGCATGCTTTGTCGAATTATAATAACTACTGTTTTTATTATAATAACAACTTTAAATACTTTGGTTTCGATTCGTCCTATATTATTAAAAAAAATTGAGTCAATTTAAGGTTTGATATGGGAAGTAGCGGCGTTGTACTTTGTTTTTGATTCAACAAAAGATATTTTTTAACTTGCAAAAATGCTTTCTACCTTGAAAGGGTTTAAAAATTGCAATGAACACAAACTTTCACCATAGACAAAAGACACGATTGTGCAATTGTCATTCCGACAAATACATTAAGGTAGCGAATTTAACAGTGATTCTATTC